TGAAGAGCCTTTCCATTAGCCAAACCTGTTTTTAGCTTTATAGCTCAACTCGAAGTTATAATATTCCATTAGGGAACTTCCTTAAAGCCGCCCTCTGCCAGTTACTTACTGGCGGCAGTTACTGAGTACAGTCCGGTTCGCTGTTGCAGTGCTGTTCTGGCTGCACTTGCTCCGTTTTATAGCTGGCAAACATTATGGCCATGATTAATGGCAGATAATAATTTCGAGTGCCGAGCACTTGACAGCATACGAAAAGTCAGAAAACTATGGCCAATGGACGCCCATTAGCCCTGACCGCCCACCGAAAAAATGCACAGCGGACAGACTGAGGAATGTCAGGAGAGTGCAGGGGTTGGGGGTCAGAGGCGGAGGAGGAGGAGGAGGAAAAGGACGAGCAGGATGAAAGGTCAAAGTGCAGTAAAGGCAACTCTGCGAATGACTGCTGCAAAATAAACAGCAACAACAGCAGCAACAGAAGCTGAAGCAGCATAAAACTATTGCCATGTTCTGTTTGCGGCATTAAATGCCCCCGTTCTTCCCTCTCTCTCTTCCCCCAAATACCCCTCTCTTTCGCACTCCGTAGCTGCCATCTCTTTCAGCCTGGTGCGTGTGATTTACTCCGCCTGGGGAATAAATTATGATGAGAAAAACGCTCGCTGGTGTTGATCAGCGAATTATTTTATGCAAATTAAAAATCGTAAAAAATATGTTATAAATAAAGAGAGTATAAGAGGGATAAATGTGGAGAGGAACCATAAATGGTGAGATTTAATATATTTAAACTGGGTGGTCAGTTGACCACAATTTCGTTATTGTTTTGCAATCCAAAATTGATTTAGCCAAAAACCATCTCCCCTTCCACACATCAACTTCTTTTTTGAGTTCTTCTTAATGACTTTTATATGCCACAGATGGTGAAAATATCGTTTTAGTCTAGATTTTATGATAATAATTCTACTCTATCGGTCACAAGGGCTTTGAAAGCACTTTAAAATGTATTTTAGGTGTCTAAAAGTATGCAACACTACACACTAAACTAAGAAGTACAGTGAATTTAAATATTTACTGCATACTTTTAGACACCTAAAATGACAATGATGTATAAAACGACTTGTGATGCAACCCTATATTTAAAAAAAATAAGTAAGAACTTAATTGAATTGGAAAAAATTAAACTTTAAAGTTTAAAGAGAAAAAGTGCTAGAAACATTTACGACAAAAAAATTCAACACTACGTTTTGATCCCAGCTTGATCAGGAGTTTTCCTGCGAGTTTCCGGTTACGTCCTTTGGTTAAAAGCTTTCCCATCAGGAGCTGGTACACCAAACGGGCCAAGGACACAATGAGTGCAACTCGAGGTGGAGCTGCATTCTGGTCCAAGGATCCGGTCCTTTTCTTTTGTGGGCGTGTGAGTGGCCGTCATAAAATTACTTTTTATCATTGTAACATGGACAACAAGATGGCGCTTTTGGGCAGGTCCTTGTCTCCTCGATATTTTGCCGAGTGGCGCAAAGTTTTTATGATGTTTGCCACAAGGCATCCGTCCACGTCGCCTCTTTATGCGGCAGCAGCTAAAAGGTTGGGCCACGTGCCCGTCCTCCATTCTTGTTCCACTTTTCTTTCAGTGCACCGTATTAATGGCTCGCATGCACGCTAATAAGCATAAACGCAAACGCAAGAATGTGCGTGTTAAGGACTCCCTGAGATCCTTCGCTCCTTGCTCCCCTGACTTCAGCGTGCACTTTATTAATGTTGTTAAAAATCTAACAAATGCCCAGCCAGTGCGCAATGCACATTCGCTGCGGTTTATTAATGCCACAAAAAGGAGCAATTAATGGCCAGTTCTTGACCAACCACATTGTTGCTGCTAATAGAGAGAAAGCTGTGGAAACAAACTGGCCAACATGAAACACTCAACAATTAGGCAAAAAATTCTGCACAGCTCGGGGAAACTTTCCCTTTGCAATATTCCAAGAATTTTTCCGAACAATTTTACCAGGCTCTCTAACAAAAAAAATTGAAATGAATGAAGTACACTTTAAGCTGGAACAAAAGGTAAATGGGGAAAAGCAACAGGTGCTACGACTAGTTCGCCTTTTATTGACACTTTCCCAAGCTTGGACAATTGTTTGCCGATGCATTAAGGGAGAAATGGAAAATGGAAAATGAAAAATGGTAGCTTAAACAGAGTGAATGAAGAAAAAGCATTTTTTGCTCCACTCAATGGCCATTTGACAAGTTGACTCTGGGCGACAAGCTCGACTGCATAACCGACTTAATTAAGACAGATTTAAGTTAGAGGAAAAGTGAGTCAACACTCCACAATGGGCAGAGTGTGAAAGCTTCATTTCCAGCCAAGTAAATGCCACATTACGAGCATTGCCATTGCCAAACAAGGACTCTCCCCCTATTCTCCTGCAGGACAATTGCCAATTTGGTTTAAACATTTGAGCAAAGTGCAAGTTTTTGGTCACTTCCGCTGAAGCTGAAGCTGCTGCTGTCACTTGATTTGTGGCTGCACTGAAAGATAAATTGATCAGTTTACAAATAAAGTATTATATGTACTTGTATTACCCATAACTGAACTTTGTAAATTTGGGGAATACTATCAACAGTATTGTCTATATACTGTTTAATTGAATTCCTTGAATAAAATATGGTTATTCATATCAAAAAACTTTATGATCCTAAAGATAAAACTCTTTCTTTAGTTAAAGGATCAAAAAAATAGCTAAAATATATTTTGTAATAATAAACATTTGACAAAAACCATTTATAAACCAAGAGTTGTAGTTCCAATATTTTCTCCCTGTGCAGCCAACAGTTAATATCTTAAGGAATTCTGAGATGGCGACAACTTTGTGGCAGGATGTTGTCATTGTGTGTTTTCGCGAAAATGCGGTGAAAACAAAATGAGTACAAAACTGCTAAGAACGACTTCCGTCCCACAATTTCCATGCTGAGCGGAAATGGAAAAACACTTGCCAACACAACACACCGCCCCTTTCCATTTCGTCGCCTCGTTTTCGCTTTGTGCAGCAATTAAGGAGAACACATGCAGCTAGGCCAAAAGCAGGTCAATACATATTGATATCCCATCGCCCGCGGGGGGACCCCCTCATCGGGATATGTATATTTCATGTAAAGTCAATTTGAAGCGAACAGCCACCGCTGTGATCCGGGGATCCGGGGATATGGGAGTCCTCACGATTCTGGATGCTGCGTAATGCTTTAATTTAGTCGCAATATTGTCCTGCCGTTTCTGCCCCTTTTGGTCGCTTGCCACTTAATGGCCAATTAAGGGTAGACGACACAAGAAATAATTAAATAGCTATCGCTGCATGAACCCCAATGAACCGAACCAGCAGCAGTTTAAAGGGGCAGGGCCACCACGGCGTATGTGCAATGTGGCTGCGATGAGCTTTCAACTTTCAACCAGCTCAGCCCGAAAGTATGCAACTCGCTGGCGAAAGACCAACTCCTCGAAGCTATGCAAATTTAATTGGAAAATTTCCTAATGAGATAGACTCGTTCCACTCTCCTCCGCTGCTGCGAGTTTAATATTTCAAGCGCAATTATGCAGCTGCGCATTAAAAATCAAACACAACACTAAAAGTGACAGCTGCAATCAGAGCGCCTTCGTTTCAGCTCATCGTAAAATTCAATTTGGCGCAAAGTGTTTAATGAAAGGCAGCGCACCCCCCTTTTAAGTTTTTCCTGCCCAGCGGGTCATCTTGGAACAAAACAGCAGAACAGCAGCCAACTAAGCTCGACCCCGGAAAGCACTGAATTGTTTTGCATAAAAATAAAAACAAGCCCTGGCCAGGCACCAAAATTATGCAATACCATTCTGGGGGCGAGTGCAATGGCCGTAATAAAAATTAACAAGCTACGCAACGTTTGAGTTTTGAATTAATTGACAGCGCGTATGCACAGGACACCCGGGCAAAAACCGGGAGCAGGACCAAGGATGTCAGGAGCAGCAGCTCCTTGTAAAATTATAAATTCGCATCTAAATGAACGCTGCAAAATTAATGAACTGCATGCAGTTTAATTGAAATGAACATCCGCAGGGGGCGGGGCGAAAGGGAGTGTCAGTAAATGGGGGGTTTCCCAGGAAAATTCACAATGAGGGGTTTTCCGAGGTGAATCGAGAGTGCATAAAATCCCCTCGAAATCTGCAAGGTTAAGAAACCTTTTTAATTAGGAAAAATGCAGGAGATAATATCAATGTCTAAAGCTCGCAGTTGTTAGTCTACGTTATCATTGTACCTTTCGTGTATAGCAAAGGTATATGAACTCATAATTAAGCAAATATTTTGAAATACAGACGCCAGCAATAAGTATTTTTGGCCTAAACATATTTTATATCTATTTTATTTTTTTAAATTTTAGATACTTTTAACTATAGAATATTTTTAGGAAGCTTAAAAATGTATAACCCTGAGTTTTTGATATCAAAAATCTATTATCATCATAGAACTAAAAGAACTAAGTGAAAACAACAAATTTGGTTCTTAAAAGTTTTTTTAACTGGTAATTCCCAGAATTTTTTAGTATTTTTAATATTTATATTAATATTTCCTTTAATAAAATTTTTAAATTTTACTTTTTGAAACAGTGATATCCAAGAGCAAAGTATAAAATTTTGAATAAGGTGCTTTAAGTTGCAATGCTACTACTAACTTCCCCAAAAATAACTCAAGAAAATACATGAAAACTTCGCTAATGGTTGCTTTACTATTTTAGTTGTTGTATTACTATTTGATGACCAAAAAATAGATCAACAATATATACGAAAATTCGGAAAATGTTAAGTAATGAAGGACCAACACATGTTTTCTATTTGAGGTGTACTTGAGACATTCAAATATCTATAAAGTTTAACAGTCTGATCATCAAATACAGGGGAAAACGTATTTGTAACCCGAAGCTTGGTTCATTTCATTGCATAATTCTATCCTGTTCCGATTCCATTAACCAGCAATAAGGCGACTTACCTCCACGTAAGATCCGTCCTCGACCACTTGGGTCCCTGTAGAACGTAGCGCCGCACCCGCACACCGTGGCCGCTGTCGTGATAGAGATTATCTGGCGAGAAGCTATTGGCCGACTGGTCGTCGCCCACGCCGCATCGGGGCTTCTGTATTAGCCGGGCCGTTGCCGCGTCGATTTTGCCCGTAACTGGAATGTTGCCAAAAGTCTGCAGACGGTAATGTTAGTTGTGAAATTGTGCATAATGGATGCGGGGGACTGGGGTGCAGTGTTGTGGAATGGGTATCGGAATGGCCCTTACCTGGAGATTCTCGATTGCTTGTGTCAGCTTCACGTCGGAGAGAAGATTACCCGATTCCAGGCTCGACTTGGGCAGGTAATCAAACTGCATGAGGTAATTGTACTGCAAGGAGAGATGGATAGATACATTAGGGAAGTGTGCCAAAGGAACGGGTATCGCAACAATGGCCCTGTCTGCCCTGCCCTGCCCTGCCCTGCCATATGGCCAGTTTGGTGAGCCAAACTATTTGTCGTTTTGCAAATGATGCTGCCTGCCTGACTGCCTGCCTGCCAGCATCAACAACGGAAAAAACCAGTCCCAAAAAAACGAAGGGACCAGAACCAAAACTTTTTGCATAAAGTTAATGATAAAAGCAACGCCAGATAGGGCGGCGGGCGGCAACAACAAAACATAAACAGCAACAAAAACTTTAACATTAATAACCCAAAAAGTATGCCACAGAAAAAAGTGCAAGGAAACGTTGATGGAGAAGTGCTCGAAGGAAGAAAGCTTGGCAGCCATTTTAAGCCATTTCCATATCTCCTGGCCGCAATCATAAAGCTGCCTTCGAGGGCCACTTAAAGGCATTGCATACATTTAGGTATGTTTTATCAGTTATCTATGGAGTTTGTCAAGTATTTTGGGATCTATATATATCTGAGACTTAGGATATACCTGAATCGAACCTAATAAAAGTATTTAGAATTGTTATTGCTGCCTTACGAGTTATCTACATATCTATTATTATAATAGAGTTATATAAACCACATATTGTTAGGATAGAACGTCATATTTATATTTAAAGCTCTTAAAATATCTTAAAAGACTTTAAAAGGCTTGATCTTAACTTGATATTTAACCAGCCCATACACGCCTTCAAGTTTATCTTTGGGATTACGTTATTTGGACTCTTATTTCCCCCATTGAATGGCCGTATTCCCTAGGGAATTTGGTACAGACCCAAAGTTTGCATGTATACTGGGTCATAACTGTAAAGTGCGAGTACAGAAAAACAGAAAACAAATAGAACCCAACTCGAATATCGACTCGATTCGGTGGCCATATGTGAGTTGCCTCTGGATTTACATATTTTTACATCGCGTGCGCGCATATTTATTAACTAACGCACACACTGGCACGCCCAGCAAACTTGACACATACACCAGCAAATTACGTGACCTGCAAATTAAATTTTCTCTTTCATTTTCCCCACATATGAGAAAATTGTCACACTCGCACCACGCTTTTCCAACCCCTCGCCCCCGGAACTTTTCGATTTTCGACTCACTTGCTATTGTCAGTCGCTTAAAAAATTGCGTGGAATACAAACTTTTGAATGGCCAAACGATTTGCAAATTTCATGAAAAGAATCGTTAGCCAAAAGTTGCGGCTGGATGGGTATTGGCATTCTTATAGAGGCAACGTGATGTGTGGCGATTAGTTGGGATTTATTTCGAATGATGAATGGCCCATCTACATCGTGTTTAGGTGCTGAAAAGTAGCTATGTGCGATGCATATAAATGCAGAAATCAGGTTTGATTTGGGTTCCAGCTAACTGTGCTTTAAAGAAGTTAGCTTAAGTTATTGCCCTACTACTTTCTAGATCAAAAACATTCTGCTTTTAATTGTTTGCCCTTAAAGGAGCATAAAAGTAAACAGATTTGATTCCACTTTTGTGACTTTCGCCCCGAATGCGGCATTTAAAAGGCCACAAAAGTCACACTAAAGTAACCACATGTTGTAGTTTAAGCCAGAAGGAAACTTTCTTGGTCGGAATGGCTGCATTTCGTATGCTTCTGCCATTTTATTTATTATTTTTTTACGTAACTCCCGCAGCGATGCAAGTGCATCGGGTCCGCAATAAAGGACCCAGGAGAAGCAATGGAAATAAACCCAGCGCTGGGCTTGCGGCAGGTGCAGCATAAACCAGCTCCTGACCCCCGGTTAGCACTGATTCCAGCCAAATGTGCGTCACAAAAAAGTTGGCTTAGACCCTCCCTCAATCTCCCTCAATGGGTTCCGTTGTCACGTTGCTCGGAACGCGTCACCGGCCATACGTAACGCCGGGTAACGTAAGAAAGCCCACACTGGCGAATTGAAATTCACATAACGATCCCCCACAGCTATGTATGAGAGCTCTCTGTCTCCGCCACTGTCTTTGTCTCCCCCTAGAAACCCCCCTCCTTTGTCAACTACACGAAAACAATATCAATTAATATATGTATGCTGAAATGCAAAGGAGAAATCCAAGTACTGTCGCAACTCAATAAGACAAATGTACTTAAAGGTGCCTAAAATGTATTTTATTTTATTAGTATCTGTTACTCAATCCTTAAACTCCAAAAGCTCGCACTATCACGGGTTCCAAAAACTTTATATCCAATGTTGTACCTATATCTCACTTTTATATAACCTTACTTTATCTTGAAAAAAATATATCAAACTCAAAAACTAAATATTATTAAAATGCTTATAGCCAATATTTTATTTATAACTAAATATTTTATAACCATATTTATATTACCAATAAATTGAAATTTTTTAAAATAAACATTTGAAATCTTTCAATGAAAACTTTCCGTTAATATTATAAACAATTAGTTACCATAATAGTGAAAGATCTTTTTAAAACCTTATAATAATGTTACAATTAAGATTCAAATCCAATACCACTTAAATCAAAATAAAATTAATCTTAAAAACATACATTTTAACCATTATCATCTTAAAAACATAAAATTTAAACCATCATAGAACATCATAATGGAATATAATTTTTTTGGAAACCACAAGCTGTGTCTGCTTTAGACAATCCGGCCTGTACCATTTGCGGGTGGGGATAAGAATAATGTGGCACACAGCGGAAGCCGAATGTCTGGCCAGCGGAGACAACTGCAGACGCTTCGGGTTTCTTAATGAATGGAAGACTTGTCCGTCGAGGAGCCCGGATAATGGAGGGGATTCAATTGGTAGAGCCTGCGTTCCTTTCCAGCGAACTCAACTAGTCAATTTGGCTAATCGAAGGCTTTGCGGACTGTAAACAGTTCTGGGGAAAGGTGTGCCAAATGGCAGAGAGCCGAGCATTTTACGACGACAATAAACTATAATTCGTAGTTATGAATGGATGGGTATGTGAATGAATTGCTCAAGTCTTCGAGCGACGGAAGTGCTCACATTTGACCCCCCACCCCCACCCCCAACAGCGCTTTTAAACAACGTAGTCCCCCGCCCCCTTTTGGTATCAATCATTTATGCATTGGCCTTTTGCGTTTTTAATGGGAAATTTGTGGCCCGGGCTACGTGCTGGAAAATCGGGCGGGAAAAGCGGGGAAGTGGCAGCGGGGTTTACGTACGTGGCCAAGCCATGATTCTGACTAATAGAAAAGCGCCAGTGGAGTGGAAAAAGCCGAGGGAAAAGAGGTGAGAGCATCGTATCAGAAACAATAATAGTAAAACATTGCTACGTGAGTATTTGTCGTGTAAACAAAATCATGTTATCAAAATATAATAACGGAAAGCAATATCGAAAAAACAATTGAGAAAAGTGCGAAAGGCGGGGTCCAGAGGCCAGAGTGTACGAGGGTATGGCTTTTCCCCACTGCCATCCAATAATTGTGGGGCTTAATTTAGTTAAGTTGGCGTGTCACAAGGAAAACTTCTCGGTGAAAGTGTGAAAGTAAATTGAACGATGAACGAGGCGATATGTTTATTATTTTATTGGCTTATAATTATACGAGGGCGGGTCGCACAGAAATAAAAATAAAGGGCTTATCGGGCGCCTAATTTAATTAATTCCGGGGCGAGAGTTTGTTCTGTTGATGGGGAGGGGGGATAATTAAGGAATGTGTAGAAGGGTCAAGGAGGAAAATTAATTAAAATCACACTTGAGGTAAGCTATTGAAACTGAAATTATAAGAAGAATACTTTAAATACTTTACAATATTTTGGATTGTATTTAAAGTCATTTTAAACATTCAATTTCCAGCGAAACTTGGTAAAAAATTGGATGTGATTTGACACAAATATGTTATTTTACATAAAATGTTTTACTATTTCACAGATGCTTAAGACATGATTTCACTGTTACTGATCTCTAAATATTATAGGCTATGGGGTTGGAAAAATCTCAGATTTTAGAACTCCATGCTGGAACGTTGGAAACCGCAAAAACAAATCATAATGGTTCATATGCTGGCCATAACTCTCTGCCCCACATGCGACAGTGGCTAATAAAAAGCACCTACAAATGTCGCCGGATCGGCAGGCAAACAAACCTATAAAAATGACAGGCGACTGCAACAAACGAGCGCATCCATCTAGGCCCTCCGCACTCCCCCGAATCATATGCACTCGGTGCCTGCCAAGAAGGACACTGCCTCTGATCCTGCCGCAAATTCTGGGAAATGCGCCATGGAGAAAGGAAAATCAGATAGAGCAGGAAACTGGAGAAGGCGAAACCACAAAGAGCATGAAATCGAGGCCAAGTCGCACGGAAATGGACTTAAATGTGTCGGCAGGACAACAGGTCCTTGCCACAAACAAATTTACTGCAAGTGAGTGTGTGAAATGGTTCCTAAATCAATCATATTAATGGATATATTGGGTTTACATGGGAAATGGAATTAAAAGTAATGTTTTTTACTGCTATGAAATCTTGTTTAAACTCCATTCCCTTTTCTTTGTGAGTACATATATGTGTATTATATGTTTATTTATTATACAATCTTGTATTTTATACTAAATTACTCAACCTCTATAAAAGTTCTGTTAATATAATTCTTGGGGCGTGTATCTTGTATGCAAAATAGGACTTTTATTTTCGGTCCCCTACGCATTCTTCCACATTCTTCGGTTGACCTGCTCCATTTAAAGAAACACACGTTCCCACTTTTGGGGGCCCTGCCCAGAGCATTCCCATGCATTTCCTGTTGCTGTCTCATAAAAGTCTTGGATACACACACGTCTTTCGGAACATGTGCGCGAGTCATACCCCATTTCCTCATCCCATCCAATCCCACGGCCATCCAACCCACTGCAGCTCCTTGGCAATTTATAGACTGCGAATTTTAATAAAAAGGATGTGCCAGCTAGCGGCTCGAGTGATGACCACGCCCACCATTGC